AATGAAATAAAAACCTTATATTTGTTGTAGTTAATTTAAAATCATATCAACTTTCAATATTGACAATATAATTGAAAATATTGTAAAAATAAGTAAGTTCGTAGAACACATTTATTTTATTTTAAATAAATGAATATCTACCCATAAATCGTTAAATAACTATACAGTTACTTCATTAACATAAACAATATTATAAACATTAACATTTGATTAAAACGTTTCAAGATAATAATACAACTATTTGAAACATTCTGCGGTGAATATTAGTTATATGGTATCAACGTAATTTATAACATTCGTCTTTTCAATGAGTTTATAATGATTGGCTAAATTTTCAATTTTTATTTCACGATTGTTAAAACTTTAAAATAATTAATTATATGTACCAATATCCTTATAAGTCATTAAAATGCGTATAGTTTTTTCATTCTGGTGGAAATTTAAAATATTAAATAATATACTATACAATTATGTTTTCAATAATTTTAAATTATAAATAGATACTTATTGTTATGCTCAAAAATATTTTGCATATTTTAATACTTAGTACTTAATCAATAACAACGTATTTGAGTATTCTATACACTATTTTACATTGATTAAAGAATATTTTAATAATAAAAAATTATTTTAATATCATAATCGAAAAATATGTCGTCAATCTTAATTTAATTGTGTAGCAATTTATGTAGTAACAATATTCTCCATTTCCACAGAGCTTACTTTATAACCATTAATTAGTGGTTTAATATGAAACATATATATTAGACACTAGTTACATTTTCTGAAATGCATTTTGTATGCCTAGAAAATGTGTAAACTCTAGTTGGAATAATTGACTATGTAGTTTTAAATTCTAAATAATGAAGTACAATAAAATTGTGTACATAAAATTTTTAAATTAATGGTCATAGTTTCCAATATGTTACTTAAATCAATAAATGTTAATAATAAATGTATTGACTTATTATAATCAAGATATATTATACCTCTTACAAAAACTAACTAGAAATTAATAGCCTATTCAATTACAACAATTTATGTTTTTTATTTTTTTTATGTTTGATTGATTCATAATGAATAAATATTTTTATTATTTTTTTTTTTTTTGTTTTATAAATTATGTGCAATAATTTTTAAATAAATAATATTAAAGTAATTATGAAATACATAGGTTTAATGTTTACTATTTCTTATTATATACATAATATTATATTTATTTTGTACTATGAGTGTACTATAAGAATTTACTCAGTGAATCGATTTTAAACTAAGCATCACTTTTCAAAATTAATTTCTTAGTAAATTTAATATAAATTAATAACTGCTCAAAAACTAAAAATTAAAAACATATTATTATAATTATTATTATTATGATTTTTTTTTCCTGTAAAAAAGATAAAAACATATTGTTTTGTATTGTATAGAATAAATATAAATATGTTATTTTTTTTAAATCTAAAATAAAATATATATTCATTTTAATATAAAAATATTAACTATACACAATAAATTAACGGTTAAATTAAACTACATTATTTCACTATACAGCTTCTAGGCAAGTTTGAAAATTCAAATAGAGTATAAACTAATTTATAAAACTTTACTTTTAGCTCATAAGAATATTATCTTATCTACAGTGAATATTTTAATATAATATAATACAGAACATTAAACTTCATATTCATACAATAAGATTTCGGTAATTTACATTTTATTATAATAATTTTATAGTAAATCATCAACTTAAAACTAGCACAGATAGATTTTTATACGTAATAATGCAAAAAAATAATTTTCTCTTTTACGCTGTTTGCACTAAAAGCTAAAAATCATTATTTTTATTTATTTTAAATAAAATAATGATTGTTTTTAATGTCATAACTGTAATAATTTTCTTACTATTAATGGATGTTTTAGGGTCATTATGTATAATATGTATACACTAGCGATAGAACTAACGTAAGAGGTATATATATTATAAGAAAAGTGTGGTTATTGCTAAGTTTATCTGCTGACTCAAAAGTTAATAACAATAATATCATATGGTATGATTTTACTAATAGTTAAAAAATTATTTAATAGTTCTTTAAAACATAATTTTATAAAATGTACTTAGTGATGTAAGGTGACAGATCGTTTAAAATTGTTTTTCGTTTACAATGATATATTTTTGAATTCATTATTCAACTATTCTATACCTAATGTATAACAGAGCGTCATCTGCATACCCACCTTATTTTTTCATAAGAATTCTGGTTGAAAAATAATATATTTCGACTTGAATTAATATAATCATATTTTGTGTAAACTGTTTGTAGTAGTTTAATGAAAACAAAATGTATGTACTAATATAACGTTATTAATTTTTGAATAAAAATGTTAATGTATTGATTAAATTATGAATACATATATAGCTCTAACAACAAAATTATTTGAATTAAACCACGCATTATATACTTATGTGATGTAAATATAAAAATATCCATTAATTTATTAATAAAAAAAAATCTATCGTAACATTTGGTAATCAATTTCATGTACATATTGTAACTTATAAAAATTATTGTTACGTATTCTCATAATGCATATTATCAACTATAAGGTACGCTATATATTAATCATAAATTGATAAAATTAACTATAACGTATGATATAATATGTAAATATAATTAATTGATCATCAGTTATAGGTAACATATTTAAAATATTGCAATTATATAAATTTAAAAATAAATATAAAATAATTTTGTTCATTACTTTATAATCATCAGTTCAATACTACTTTGATGTTGTTTATGTATAGTTTATTAAAATTTTTGGATACTTTTAAATAACATTTTAACTTATAACTATTTTGTCATTTTCCATATGAAGTACTAATGCATCTAAACTTTGTTTTTATAATTTTTTCTTATGTTATTTCTCAGTTTGGTGAGGAAAGTAAAAGATTGACTGTGGTAGAATTGAAATAACCTATAACTGTGCGAACCACACAAAAGAAACTAATGTCGATAAGTTACAGTTTCTCTAGATCAAGAGATACGTACACCTGTATACTCATAAATATATATATTATGAATAACATTTTAAATAGAGCTTATCTGATCGTATGACTTAAATTTTAAAGCGTTCACGTACTAAAGAAATTATATGCACACACACATATTACTCTCTAGAGAAAAAAAACCGTATTAGAAATTGTTTTATGAAAAGAATAACTTACGAAAATATAATATACAGTACACTAAATAACATATTTTTTTGACACAGCTCAATTACCGTATTTTATTTTCACTCATTCTTGTATGTAATAATGAGGATTTATACGGAAAGTAAATACACTAATCATTGACACCTACACGCTTTTCTATTTTACGCTGTTAGTACAGATCTACTATTTACTCTCTTGTCGTTCATTATGTATAATGCTTATCATATAATTTAATATATACAGACGTGATATAAATCATCCCGGTTTCAAATAAAACAGTTTTACAATCGATAAGTAATTATAAAAATAACAAAGATAGTTAATTCTGTCCATAATCGTTTATATAGCCACTCTTGTTATCCTATATTTCAGGGTTCGCCAACCTTTTTAATAAGGGGCGTATATCGATAGCACCGAAATGACCTTTTTACCTATAAGAAATCTATCGATTGCGCCGACTATGGACTTCGCCGAATTTTATTACATATTGATTCGACTGGCTATCAATCCATTGAATATTTGTAAATTATTTACTTTAATAATAGCCAAATGTCAAATGCTTATATTTACATTTATGTTAATATTTTATTATATGTAGGTACTATTTAAAATTTTAAAATACAAGCAATTATAAAATATATTTTCATGGGTGCCCATAGGTAATATTTTAGGGGGGGGGTGGGTCAAAATAAAAAATTTTTCGAATGTAAGATAATAAAGATTTAATGTTATTTTTCACATATAAATGTATACACTAACATGCATGTTATATTTTTATTTGTATATATATATAAATTATATAGTGTATTAATATAATAATTGCCATACGAATAAATAAATAAATATATAATAATTGTCATATGAATAAATAAATAAATAAATAATAATTTTAATAAGTATATAAAAAAATAGAAATTAAATAATATAATTAAGTATATTATTCGGTATCAGTAAATAAGAACTGTAAATTTCTTCGTTTTATTCCAAACATATTAATGACATCCTGAATGAAAGTATCCTTGTTTGCGTTAGGTTAAAATATTTGTAGTACCTATATTGTGATCTTTATAGATTTACCACAAATTATCTGCGATAAATTATTTTACGTATAGGTTATACAGACTACAGAATACGACCTATCTCTATGATGTTAATATACGATAACAATGAGTATCTTTTTATATTTATTTCATATCTTAAAAGTGATTTCAACAAATAATTTGCCTCGGTAATAAGGTAATATTGTGGTAATATTTTTTTCAGGGGGGGGAAGTGCCCTGTCTTGCCCCCCCCCAATGGGCGCCATGTATATTTTATATAACTGACAAAAACAAACATTCGGCGAAATCAATATAGACAAATACCGGGCAGAATCTATAGTTGGTGAAATCGATAAAACGTTAAAACCCCTCAATTAGTTAGCTACATTCAAAATTCTAAATTTCTGGTAATCGACATCTAGGTCTAGGTGATTTATTAAATAAGCAAAAAAAAAAAAAGGAGAAAATTGACAGTCGAATTATAATTGGAAGTAATAAACAATAATAAACTATTCGATATTCCCACTATCGCAACTGACCAATAATAATAAATTCAATATATATATATATATATATATATACAAAATACAATATAGCAATTATCTAATTATTTATTACTGACCAGCCGATAATGGTAGAATTAGTTTTTATTCATAGAAAGATCGACCAGTCGATTGCAACCCTTGATCTATGTAATGTTTCTATTTAATATATTCTGATCGATTTTTACATTTAATTATTTGCAGAAAGATCTGTTCGCATCCAAGCTAGAAGCGACCGAATCAAACGCACGAGATAGGAAACTATCATCATCGTCCAGTGGCAGCATGAAATCTAAATGGTTAAAGGCTATCAAAAGCTTGAAGACGACTAGTGGGCCAACTAACAACAATACTACTCAAAAAGATGAAAAGTGAGTTGTTTTATATCAATTGTTTATAACATAAATATAATTGGTATCTATGTAATATAACATTTAACTAACATTTTTTTATTTGAATAATTAATAGTAGGCACGTCATAGATTTTTATAACATTATAATATGCCTATACATAAATCATTTATTATATCTATTGTTACATTTTTTTTTTCAATCGATTCATATTTTTCATATGAGATATTAATGTATATTAGTGTTGATTATTACATTTTTTTTTCATAATTTACAATAATATATGTTATATCCTCGATGTAACGTAGCTAACAGGAAATTTGTAACATATTGTACAAAAGTAGGATAATAAAATATAATAAACAATCTCATCAGTCGATTAAAATCTTATATATTTATTTTATTATTGCTAAAACGATGGTAGAATTTTATGTTTAACATTCGTAGGTACTTTTTCAGACATGATTTATTATATTTAGCTTGGACACTAAGTCACAACGTTTGTAATACATATATAAATTACAATGTATGTGTATAATGTATATACATATGAGATAATCCATTTAATATATTACACTTGTTTTCCAAATTTTTCGTTATTATTTTTGAAAAATATATTTTTTTTTTTTTTACATAAAGTATTAAATTATAAAAATTAATATATTTTTTATCATTAATAAAAAATTAAAAATGTATAATTGCACTGTGATAAAAAAACCAAACAAGTTACATAAAAAGTATACATTATATAAATTATAAATACTTCAAATAAAAACATTATTTTTTATTCAAAAACAGAAAAATTGGCTTAAAATTAATATAATGATAGATCGCGTCATAAGTTTCAGATTGCAGTTTATTATTTTTATAAATTATGGTATATCATATATTACGTATGTAACATAACACTGTATAAAGTAAATCTTATGTATACACAGGACTGATGAGATTTAGCGTCTAGATAGATTAACGTTTAGTCAAATAAGTAGCTGGTTGTGTAGCCTATGGCTATTAATGAGCTTACAACTCGAATTCATATGCATAAAGGTGTATATATATATAAATATATATTATACTCGAAATTATTGTTAAGCTAGCACAATAATCAGATACCTACGTCACTGATACTTCAGTGAAAAAGACAACGAATATAATATAACCACAAAAAATATGGTGATGATAAAACATAAAAAAATTATGTGTCCCAAATATACTAGGATTGTTATATGTTTTCTTACGTGTGCAAAGGAAATCGTATTTTTTTACCGATGCAATTACGAAATTATTGTCGTGGATTGTTAATCATCGGCTCAAAAGCAAAAACAATGATTTATCACGACAAATAATTCTTGAACTATAATTTAGTACTGATTGTACGGTTAAGTCGATCAGTTGATCTCTGAAGTTGTAAATCGATCATTTAAACAATATTTTTTACCGGGGTTTATTAGTAAACCGGCAGAAACGCCATATTTTTCTAGTACTACATATTAAATATAATTATACGTTCCTTCCCAATCATTAAAAAAATAAAATAGTTTTTCTTCGTTTAAATATAACTAACATTATCTGAATTATATCATTTTAAACATTAAAATATATATAATGTTTTTCACACATACAATTATACTAAATGTTTTAAAAAATTCCATAAACTATAATTTATAAATATTCATTATCAAAGTATAAAAGAAGTAAGATAATGGTTTATGCATCATTCTTTATAGATTATAATAAATTTAATTATGATTTTTACTGTCATAAGAATTTAAGATACAATTTTCGTTTCAAAATCAATTTTAATAAAATACTATTTTTTTTTTAATTAATCATTTTAATTTTTAGAACCAAAATTGTAAAACTCCATCATAAAATATGACTTATTATTATTTTAGGTACTTAGAAAGTTATAATGGCTTGAACAAAAACTTTAATTTCTTAGTTAATTTTTTGGTAAATAAACGCTTGTTTAATTTTTAATCCATTGCTAAAAATTATCAATTACACTATTAATTACTCTGTTATAAATTTTCTTTAAACAATCGACTAACAAAAATGTTGGAATATAAAAAAATATTTTAGATTCTGAACGGAGTGATGAATGTATTGATTTCACAATAATGTGTGTGTGTGTTTTTTTTTTTTTGTGTCTGTGTACAGCATAAGTAGTCGAAATAATGCTTCAATTTCAAACTTCGGGATGGTTTCCGATGGCAAAGTGAATATCCTTGATGCATTATAAAGGTAAAAAGTAAACATTTTTCAAAAAAATCGAGAAAAACAAAAAAAAAAAATGACGGAAAAACGGGAATTTTTACAAAACTATTTTGCAAAACTAGTTTTTGACCAAATCGAATTTTTTTTATGGTAGTAATTCAAAAAACTAATCACTGTAAGTACTTGAAATTTTCACCAAATGTTAATGTTAGTGTTATCTATATACAGTTTAATTTTCAAAAAATTTTGACTATTTTTGAGTTATTTATAAACCACTGAAGTTATCGATTTTTATGAGAATATTTTTTTTGAAGTGTCGATAAAAAAATGTTGGATGACCAAAAAATGTTGAAAATTTAATACAAAGTTCCTTATGGGTTTTTCTTATTGTACCTAAAAAAAAATTAAAAATCATTAGTCACAACTTTTTTTTATAAACGTTTATAGTTCAAATATTTACGAAATCTATCAAAAACGCGAACATTTTTAAGTAATTTTAAAGTTGAAAAATCATAAAATTTTTTGTATTTATCACTAAGGTACTAAAAATATTACATTTTGTTTTCCCTAAGTTTTCTTTCAAGTCGCTATAGTAAAAACTCGAAGCATCATTATAGGAAAAATTTTAAATTTTTACGAAATAGCATAACAATTACGATTTATCCTCAAACGATTTTAAATATTTATTAATATTCAAAATGTATAAGTCGTAGATACTTGAAAATTTTACCAGTTATTTAGATTGGCATTTTTTTATTTTTTTTACATGATTTAATTTTCAAAATAATTTGATTTATTTTGAGCTATTTATAGACAACTGAAATTTTCAATTTTTCTGAAAATTTTTTTTTGAAGTATCGATAAAAATGTTTTGGCCTAATCAAAATACTTGAACATTTAATACAAAGTTCCTCATAAGTTATTCTTATAGTGATCAAAAAGTTTTAAGAATACATATGCACAATTTTTATTTTTATTAGTATTTGAAGTTCAAATATTGACAAAAATTCGTCAAAACTATGAATATTTGCAAACTATTTTGTAGGTATAATTCATAAAAATTAATAATTAATTGATTAACCATGACTTTTGCAAATGCGTTCTAATTGAAAAATAAAATATTTGTTTCAAAATAGAATGTATGTTAATATTTAAATATAATATATCCTAGACTGACAAATCATTTCCGTTCAGAATCGTTTTTCGTATACAATGATACCTATCATTGCGTTCAAATTTAACCTACCCTAGTCCGAGGTTCACCCCACCCCCTAATATACAGCAGAGCGGTACCTACTTGCCCGCTTTTTTTTTTTTTTTTTTTTTTATGAATGTAATCTGCTCCAATTTATATTTATTCCATGAAGAATTATAATTTAGAAGTATACTTTGGTTGATATAATAATAAATATGTAAATAAAACAAAATATCGTTATTAAATGATTTTTTATAAAAAAAAATATTGAAATTAAAAATATTTTCTTGAATACATATTTTATACCATATTTAAAAAAAAAAATCTTCCTATTTAATGTTAAAAATTTATTACAGTCACATAACTATAATTAAGTATTAAATATTATTTAATATTTTTATACTATGTACCTATATGAATATCGAATACACACTTGTTCCTCCAAAACACGTAGTTATTATTATGAGAATATGAATTCGAGTTGTAGTTTAATTAACCAACTTAGTATCATTATTTAATATATTGTTTATTAATTTAGTTGTTTTTTATTCAGCTTTACTAACATAATGTTTTGTGTGTTTTTTTCATTTTTTTGTTTGGCTGTTTGATGTGTGCTCTCGCCAAATAAAAAAAAAAAAATAATTATACTTATACCTCGGTAAAAAAAAAAGGAAACACCAAATGTACCACGCGGTATCGACCATAATTGCAATGAGGTAATTGTTTTATTATTATTGTTTGTATTTTATGCTATTATAGTTATCATTATGCTCACATGTACATTACAGGATATTATATCGAATGCATATAATATTTATAAGGTACTGTCGGATTGATCATAACATTATTTTAATAATAATTAATAGTAATAGGTATTTTTTATCGATATTTTTTGAACCTTTGTATTTTTTTTCTTATGTCTTCGACATACACTAAAAAACATACTCCAAAAATTGCATCATGAAAGTTTTTCAACAATTTTTTTCCATGGTATTTTATAAAATATGAAGATTCGAGTAAAAAGTTTATAGTTCCAAAACGAAACACTATATTTTGGATCGATCATACATGGTTTTCAGAGGGTTTCAGCCATTATTTATGTATACATTGACGTTCACATTTTTGTGTGGACGTTGTATAATATAACGATTTCCCTTCAGGACACTCCTGGTCATAGATATAATATAATAAGAACAAAAACATACCATAATGTTAAAAATGTATTAATAACTCATGCTAAATTTAATAAAAACTTTTTTTGAGCATGTATTTTTATTTTTCATATTTTATAACCATAAATAGTATATAGATCATGTCCGGCATTTTACATATTGATGTATAGACTATACGTGTACAATACCAATAACTTCGCTTCATTTAAAAGTTGTGTAAAACTATTATAAATATACAATTTTTTACTCATTGATCTTATAAAATAAAAAATGTACAGTTCCTTTGCGTTTTAGTGCCATTGGCTAAAGATACGTAGTTATTGTAGTGACATTTAGTATCGGAAATATCTGAATAATGTATGTCTACTTTAAAGTTTAACCGTTGTTGACAAAATGTCAACGGTAAATTTATGTACGCGTGTGTCCATATATTCAAAATTTAATATTTATTAGAAAATAATATCACTCACCAAGTTGGTCATAATAACAGTTTCAACGAAGAACAACATTCTTCAGGGTTGTCAAATAATGTGTATACTGTATAATATATTATACAATTTATAATAAATTATTATTTTAAACCACTGTAGTTCAGTAAATATTTTATCAGCATTTTTTTTCTGCACGCTATTTTTCTTTATTTTTTCTTTGCGAAGTAATTAATATTTCAATATTATTTGTACTTAGAGATTTGGTAATACTCAAAAATTAGTAATTAAAGGTAATAATATGTATCACATGAATATTATAGACAAATTAAAACCTATTAAAGATTTTTAAAAAAGTTGTTTATAAGAATTTTGATATAATTGCTTAAATTAGTAGTCTTTAAAAAAATATTTTTTCCTGTCGGTCTATTATGACTAAGTAAATTCTGAATTTTCAATAAAAATGTTATCAATCGATTCCTTATGATTCGGTAAGTGTTTATAAGCTTATCTTTTCAAACCCTATAGCCTATAGGTTTCTATTAAGTAGCTCTCTTGTGAATATAGTTTTGACTCATATAAATTTAGTATTTTATTTTATTTATTTAAATCGTTGTTATAAGTTACAAATATTAAAATATTTATCATGGTTAGATATAACTTTACGTATTAAATTATATCTTGTCATTTAGACTAACAGCTATTATATATAAGACTTAAAGTTTATGGTTGATGCATATGTATCAATAAGAAGACTCAATTCATTTTAGTAAAAAAATTGAGAATATTTCAACTGAGAAAAATAGAATTAATAGATAGATGACATATAAATAGATAGTTGAGTAATATAGATATTATTAATAGTATTTACTCTAAATTACATGTATACGAATCCACATTTTCTAACTTATTGGCACCAAATTTTAAATACACATTATTTGAAATTCCGGACTAGTTACTAGAGTATTAGAATATTAGCCATGGGTTACAGCTATTACCATAGATTATAAAAGCCTAATTAAATAACTGAAGTCAAGAGAATCAAAGAATAATGGCTGATTTTGACAATTTAAAAAAGGAAACAATAATAATATATTGAACCAGTTATTTTAAATTGGCTTCTCCGTTATTAATAATACAAAAATCATAACTGTACATTTGTTTATTTCTACTTGCAATTATTGATTATGTTAGGTTAAAGGTTATTTATTTCTATCGAATGAATTTTCCATCTCGGTTTCATTTATTCACTCACAGTGCTGATAATATTTCCTCTAAATTTTTAAAAGAAATTGCATTATTTTTGTCACCAATTATAATTTTTTTCTTTAATAAATCATTATCAAATACTAGCATTTATATTCCCAAACAAATGGAAATTTTCAAAAAAGGTGATAAATCCCAAGTCACTAATTACCGACATATTTCGAAGATTTTAATCCTTTATAAAATGTTTTTCAAACTTATTTACAAAAAAAATGTTTTCACTGTGTGAGCAAATTCTTACCAATAAACAACATATTTTTTGACCAAAGCGTTCAACCATAACCAATTTATGTATCTTAAAACAGTCAATACTATATTCATTTGACTTTAAAGCCCTTGTATATGTAATATATATAAATTTCGAAAAGGCATTTAATAGAGTTAACCGCTCATTATCAGTTTATAAATTAAAATTATAAGAGTTGTATGATTCTTATCGTTCATGACTTAACTCTTTTTCTGTAAAATATAAATATTTTTTATCTAATTCAATAAATATTTCATTTGGTGTACCACAAAGTGACTACTTATCCCCCAAACTTTTTTTTTTATTTATAAATAATATATAATATTAGTAAAATTCTCTTTCGTTACTCGAAATGTATATTATTTATTGATGACACTAAATTATTTATAAAAATCGATTGTATTGAAGATTCATTGGAACTAACTTAAATAATGTATATAAATGATTCAAAAAAAAAAAAAAAAATAAATAGAATTTCTTTAAATATTGATCAATGATAATTATGTCTTATTCTTAAAAAAAAAAAAAAAAACTTTTTATTTTAATTATTTAGTTAATAATATAAATTTAGCACGTACAAATATTACTAAACACCAGAAGTTTTATTTGACACAATACTATTTTTCAATAACCATTTTGTTATCATTTGTAGTAAGTCACTTATAAAACTGGGGTTATTAAAACATATATGATATATATTATATATATAGTGACTTCAATGATTATTCTGCATTAAAAATTTATATTTTTCATTAATTATTAGTACGTTCCGTTAATATGCCACTTTAGTTTGGCATTAAAATGGTATTTGTCAAAATCAAAACCAATATTACGTCCAAAATAATTTTCTTACATTTTTATCTTTTAAGTGTAATTTTAAAAACTTCTTTATTCAAAATGTACAAGTATTAATATAGGTATTTTTTTTTTAAATAGTTTCATAAAATAAAAGATTTTATATGCTGAATTCAAAGTTCTTCTTTTAATTACCATATAATTTAATAGATTTTCTTCCCGAGTTTTTAGAACAAAAAAATTAAGCGTAACTTTATTTAATTTTAAAAGTAAATGTCCGTTATATATCTAATATTAATACAAATTATATATTTAGTTATCTTGTTTCTGTATTAATGTCTAATGAAAACTCTATTAATAACTTGAACCTGTTTTATATAACCTTAGAAAAGTTAAATAATTATTTTTTTTGATTAGTACCTATAATGGTTATATTTATATAAATAATCACTTGTTCATATCTTATGTCTCTGTATATTATCTATTATTATATAACACATTTACACGTCTTGTACTTTTATTGTTATATGTTTGAAATTGGAATTTTATTTCGTAAAATAAATTATTATTATTATAATGCCAGGTAATGCAGCTATAATATTATTATAAAATATAAGTTCTATACAATTTATTTAGTATCTAATAAAATCTAAATTTCTAACCATATGTAAGTTAATACTTCTAAATTCTCAACAGTATCTGCTATATAAAATTTTTAATATTTAACTTCTTTGAAAATGGCAGTGTTTTTTCATCTTTGAAACATTTTAGCTTAGGTTAAGTAAAACTAGTAGTAAAATAAAATTTTTTAAATAATTTAAATATTTTTATTTAATTTCATACCATATTTACAAAATCGTTAAGCTAGATAATTTACTTTGAGAACATCAATAGTCAAATATTATTCTATGACACCTGTGACCACTTGCTGCTTCTGCAGAGTTTTTAAGTTTTAATAGATAGACTTGTTAAAATCTTTATAGAACTGAAAATAAATTTGTGTACGTATTTGATGTACAAGTTTCGTATATATTTAATACATACCCTTTAGTATTGTGATATATTAAATATTGTATATGTATAAGCATAATGTTAAATGAATATTTTTGTATATTTAAATGTCAGTAATAAAAAAAAAAAAAAAAAAACAGATTAATAATTCTTATGACATCATCATAAAGACGTAATATATCATTCTGTGGTAATATCACTTAGCCCAAACTGAGATAAATAAATAATTCGGTTGAAAAATATATTATATTAATTCATACTTAGGTATATGTATAAATGTGGGACGTAACGTATGAGTATCAAACTAAAATACTTTTTACCTTCTTTTTGGTTTGCTGTAGATTGATAGACGAGAAAATGCATTCTAATACGGCAAAAAGGAAATTACAACATAATATATGCATTAAATTATACACATAGATTACGAATTATAATAAATATCCAAGAGGATGCATTAAAGTTTACTATTTACAATGCCTTAACTTTAGTATAGTGAAATTATTTTATTCAATTTTAAAATAAATATAAAATTATTTGTAATAATCTCAATCATTCTAAATGAAAGTAGATTATATCGAATATATTTTCACTAAATAACCCATTGATTTTTGAAATCATAAGTTTAGCACAGATTGTCATTATCAATTGAACGCCACAGCAGTTATATATATAATAATAATAATTGATACGTCGCCGACTAACTAGCATTTTGCCGAGAAGACTAAAATTAAATGATGTCTAGGATTAATGTAGAAAACAACTTAAATGATAAATAATAAGAAAACGACAAATAATAT